GATCTTGCGGGCATCGTTGTTGATGGAGCCCAGGATGGCCACATCCTTGAGCTGTGTGTCGACGAAAGACATGGTGAGGAGCTATATAGATATGATAAAGATATAGATACTAATGGGATTCCATGCAACGGGGGAGAAGAGAGAGGAATCAGAGGAATTAGAGGTCAGAAAAATCGATTCAAGTAGAATTCAAATTACGAGAAGAATATAAGATATAAACGTGAAGAAGTGAGGTATATATGGAATACGTCACTGAGCCGCGGTAGAGATAAGCCGACCATTGATTAACCGGTGGTCCGAACGGCCCTCACTGTGGCCGCTGGACTTCCACTTTTCCACGGGAAACTGTTCCTCTCGGCCGACATCGCCCATTTCCCCGTCCTTTTCTACTGTTCTCTCTGCGCTATTCAAATACTCGGCCTCCCCACACCACTCGGCACGCGCCGCATACCGAATCTTATCGCTTAACGTTAGCAGTTCTATTGTGTCAATTGCTCTGGGGACCTGCAATTATATAGGGTTCGTCTGTCATAGTCAATTCTCGACAAACCTTCTATTCTCCTGCTTCACCCGAAAAGGTGTATATACCCCGGAAATCCAATCAGCCGCGGCTTTTCTTGTGCTTCGTGCTGTTTCATGCCCGAATTGTCCCGGAGATGGACATGTGATGTCACATGTGATTGTTCTAGGGATGATTACATGGCTAAGTATTGACATTCAATAGGTCTAGGCTATGTACAAACTATCGTAAGGGTATTAACACGTCAAACGGTCTCAATGTATCGCTTCATCTCCCTGGAAATCCAGTCAGCAAGAGTCATCAAATCTTAACCTTCCAAGGTTAGAGGGACTTACCAATCCGTGACAGCCTCCTCCCACAAGCGCACTTCATGTTCCCGAGTACCAGCAAAGTGCTCCACGAATGAATCACCAAACACTTCCCGTGCGACACTCTCCGGCCGACTAAATGTAACAATAGCTTCCTTCAAAGACTTGGCCAGGCGCACCCCCCGGTCACTGGCACCACCCATATCCTCGCCGCGGGAGAGGGGCGGTACGGGGATCTCGAGACGTTGCTCGACGCCGCGCCAGCCCAGCGCCAGAATGGCGGCGAGGACAAAGTGTGGGTTGGCATCAGCGCCAGGAACACGCACCTCGAACCGCGTCGCCTTGGGGCTGGCGGTCGGTGGAGTGATAAGACGGATCGACGCGGCCCGGTGCTCCAGTCCCCAGGAGACCGTGACAGGGGCCCAAAAGTTCTCCACCAGTCGTTTGTAAGAGTTGATGGTCGGGGCCAGAAGCGGCATGATATCAGGGAGACCGACGAGGAGACCAGCCAGGAAATGTCGACCCAGGTCGGAGAGGTGAGCGATGTCAGGGTAAGCAGGGGAAGGATCGGGGGTGTCGCGAAGGAAGGCATTCTTTCCGTCGGCGTTCACGAGCGAGATGTGCATATGCCCGCTGTTTCCAGGCAAGCCCTGTCGGGGTTTGGCCATGAAACAAGGCGTGATGCCGTGTTTGATTCCGAACGATTTGACGACGTATCTATGCGTATACAAGTGGTTAGCCATGACGATGCAGCAGAGCGCTGAGGATCCTACTTGAACAATCCGGCCTTGTCGGCCATATCCTTTGCTTCGCCGAATTGTAATGCCTGACTCAATGTTAGCCCCAATGCAACACGCAGACTGGAGTCCACTCACGGCTTCGAAGACACCCGGCCCACTCTCCGTATGCCATCCCTCAATATCACACCGGAACTGCTCGCAGGCGTCGAAGATGCCATAATAATAATCCTGGTTGTGAAGAGGACGAGTGATCGAGTATCCAAACATCCCTTCCGTTATTGAAGGCAAGGCATCGGCAGGGTGTGACTGGAGGAAGGCTGCGGTTGCAGAGGCACCCTGTTCAGGGGTGGGGTGAGGGCCTGGTGTACGAAACTGGTAGAACTCATATTCCGCTGCAAAGGTCAGGTAAGCCATTGCATCAAAGACATCACTCCCGGTTGTACATACCTCCAGCCATGGCCCGGTACCCCGCCGCCTCGGGTTTGGCAGCCGCCGTCTTCAGCAGTCCTCGGGGACAAGCACACACCGGCTCCCGCGTATCAGGATCGAGAAAACTAATCAAGAAGAAGGGGACATTGTTCTCCCATGGAATGCGACGGAAACTGCGCAGATCGGGGACGGCGACAAGATCCCGGTATCCATTCTCCTTATTGCTGATGGCCAGCTCCTTGAAATACGTTGCGTCGTGCTGATCCCAGCCAAATACCACGGAGCAGAATCCAAAACCTTCGGTCAAGATGGAAAGGAACTTGTCCTTCTTCATGAGCTTCCCGCGTAAGATGCCATCAACATCCACGCCAGCCACCTTCACCTTGGTGTCATGCTGGAGGATCTCGGCGATATTCTCACGGGTGACCTCGGGATCTAAGCTCGACATGGTAAAGCTATAATAGAAAAAGAGGAGAGAGGAGTGGGAGAAGTGGGAGGTGAGAAATACGAGATCAGACGAGCTGCTATCAGCTGCGGGCAGATAAGGCCTGTCTGCTTTCGGACGCATATCGTACCGCTTATGTAACATTCCTGCCCCGCGTCGGTCAACTGTGAAGTGTATAGGCCCAGGTACACACAACACTCTCTCCTGTATTGATCTACTCTTATTCTAACAATGGCTGCTACTCAAGGTCGTCTCCAGGGCAAGAATGCCATCATCACCGGTGCTGCCGGGTATGTCTCTACCCCTCTCCCATGGCAATTGACTAACCTAGATGGATAGTGGTATCGGTCTCGAAACCTCCATTCTCTTCGCCCGCGAGGGCGCCAATGTCTTGATGGCCGATGTCTCCGAGGCTGCCCTGGCCAAGGCATTGGCGAAGGTGAAGGAAGTCGTTCCCACTGCCCCTCGTGTGGAGTCCATCAAGTGCGACGTGTCCAAGGAGTCCGATGTGCAGGCCATGGTCGAGTCTCAGGACAGCTGGGGAGGCACCGATGTAATCTTCAACAACGCCGGTATCATGCACGCCAATGACGCGGATGCCATCGACACCCCCGAGAAGATCTGGGATCTCACACACAACATCAATGTCAAGGGTGTTTGGTTCGGTAGCAAGCACGCTGTCCTCAGTCTGCGTCGTCACAAGAAGGCCCGTGGCAGCATTATCAACACTGCCAGTGTGGTTGCTCTGGTTGGTGCTGCCACCCCGCAATTGGCCTACACGGCCAGCAAGGGTGCAGTCCTAGCCATGACTCGCGAGTTGGCCATCGTGCACGCCCGCGAGGGCTTCCGCTTCAATGCTCTGTGTCCCGCTCCTCTCAAGTATGTTTCCCTTTCTGTATCTCAATCGCATTCCCTCACAATGGTATAGTACCCCTCTGCTGCAGAACTGGCTCGGTGAGGATAAGGAGAAGCGCTTCCGCCGCGAAGTGCACTTCCCCACCGGCCGGTTCGGTGAGGCCATCGAGCAGGCTCACGCTGTAGTGTTCCTGGCTAGCGACGAGAGCAGCTTTGTGAACGGAACTGACTTTGTGGTTGACGGTGGAATGACCAAGGTATGCTTGACGCGTAAGCGACATTCCTGACAGCGCTAACGAATCACAGGCCTATGTGACCCCTGAAGGCCCTGCGACCGCTGCGCCTCAGAACAACGGCCTTTAGTGGACCTTGACATGGCCTGATTGACCTTGAATAACTTGATTTGCAAATTTTTTTCTATTTTCCACATTTCGGGGTTCAAGAATACATAGACATAAGGTGGATATTTGATCGAACATATGATTTAATTATAATATGATCTGTGCAGGTTTTAGAGTGTAGATCAATTGCATGATGGGGCTGTGGCATGATCGCGCGGTATAACAACCTCGGGATCCCCGGCTCTCCACGTCACGATTCCCCCGCATTTACCGCATTCCGCTTCCGCTAAACCGACGCCTCCAAGCTTCAACTTCTCACTTTCACACACTTTCAACTCATATAAAACCAAACCTTCTATCCAACCATGTCTCAATTTGCGTTCGGTGCCAACAAATCTTACAACCCTCCAACCGGACCGAGTCTGAAGCCCCGGAATGGCCGCTGGTAAATGACACGTACAGTACCCCCTTTTTTTCGACCACGACTAACATTGTGTCCCACCTCAGGCTTATACCTTTGATGGCTACAATTGGTCTCGGTATGTTTTACAATTCCCGTGATGTTCCGCTGATAGAGACCACTACTGACACGCACGTGCAGGGTTCGGCGCCTACAACTACTATGTCGAAGCCAAGTCTCGCAGAGAGTACTCCCAGGCGGAGGAAGAGAAACGCATGGCTCGAAATCAGCAACTTATGGATGCATACGGCGACAAGAACAGTCTTCATGATGTCCAGCATGCCCTCGACACCTACCACGCTCAATAAATGGGCCGGGTTCTCTACTTTGGGATGCTGGCAGTCACGAAGTGAGAGAGCTGTTTGAATCTTCATTTGTTGCACTTTTTGCGTGTTTCGGAGTTTGGGCTTTGCGGGTTTCCTCCGGCATACCGGCGCATCGGTATATGTACGGTCCATATTCGGCGTTGAGATCTCCATGGCGAGTCTCGTGATGTTCTCAGCTGTTGTATACTTAGCCGAAATGAGGTTCCAGTTTGACATAGAAATTGGAATATAGTTTCAGGATGTCTCATCTCCTTGGCTTCGACTCTGTACCAGGGAATAGAGTAGAACATTGACCCACAATATGCAGCTATATAGACACTTATCTTGTACCATTCAGGGCTCATAGGTTGGTAATTGATAGTCAATGAGAAGAGGTCAATCAACCAAGGTGAGGTATTCGGCTCGTATGCGGAAATAAGGATGCGCACTCCCAAGTGTCGTTGCTGTCGGCCATGTACTGTATGTCGACGTTTATAGGTAATAACTACTGTATAGTAATCAAATGGAATGAGCTCGTGTGCTTCATTAGCGACGATTATCTTCCCCCCGGGAGGATGCATAGAGTAATGTACAAAATTAAATGGTTTGATACGTTGCAACGGCGTCTCCTGCTGGAGCCTCTGGAAGCTGGCCAAGCAAAGAACTAGGAAAAGGGCTGTAGCTCATTGTATGTTCACCAGATACTGAAAGATTAAGTCGCAGTTGAGGATCAAGATTTGAACCCATCAGAGCAGACCGCGTGTGAGGACTTAGAGCATCCTGTACGTCGAGCATCACTTCCGGTCCGTAAGAAATGTCTTGGGCGGGGAATGCTGGAAGCCACAGATCCTCATTCGTGACAGTGCCCATATTATTCCCCCAGTCATAAACAGGGCAACCAGTGGAGATATTACTTGAGTCCCTTTCACTTTCTGTATGGGGTCGGGGTATATCGTTCGTAGGCCGTGCATAGTCGGGATCCTTCGACTTTCTACCTGGAAACAGTGAATCGAGTTGACTGGAAACCTGGCGGTCGAGAATTCTTTTGATCCGCGTCCGAATGATCTCAATACTCCGGTCCAGGCCGGGCATAGCTGCAGCAGTACGCTGGAGTACGTCTAACAGAAACTTCAACTCTGTCCAAGTTGCTTGGTGGGATTGTGAAGGCTGTGATCCTTCTTCCGATGTTTCTAGTTGGTACACGGCAGTTGTCGCAGCCATATACGTACAGTAACTGTTCATGTATGTGATATGATGATATCCAAAAGTATGAATATACATTTTAAGAAGATCATATATCGCGGTGGTTGCCCCTCGACATATCTTCCAGCTCTGTCGGATCGCAGCAGAGGAAGGTACCTCTCCGCCTGCAACATGCGGTCGATGAAGAAGAATCAGGGTATTGTGATACATCAGATTGAGGGATGTGATATGCGGCGGTGGGCTCAATTGAGGCATGTCATTGCGTGGTATATGTAGGAACGATGGCAAGGACGAGTGCCAATCCTGAAGCTCCTTTTTGATCTCCATGAATAAAGCCATTCGGGGGTCTGACTTTGCCGAGTGGCTGGCGGACTGCGAGCTATAGAGTTCTAGCATGACCCGAGTGAGAATTTTGCAGAGTTTGCATAGCTCCGTGAAGCAGGACATGACATGGCCCGGAGTTGGGGGATATGGAGGGAGCTCTGCAGCCTTTGGATCAGGTCCGTAAAATGGTACCCACGGATCATGGTCGGTGAAGTCGTCTAGAAATTCCAACGATACGTTCTCAGCGCCCATGACGAAATTTGGCATCCTCCCTAGGTACAAGCTGATATGCTTGTCCCAAGCGTATAAGCTCCAAAAGAGACGTTTTCTTATCTCAATGTCCTCTGCTGAGAGTGAGGTGGAATATTGTTGAAGTTTGTCGGGAGAAACGTGTAGGCCAAGATCAATGGCCATACGAAATGCCATGCCGGAATATAGCCACGCAGAGGAGGACCGACCACAAGCAACATCCCGAGCCGACTGTTGAAGTAATGCTTGGATTGTAGGAATAGTAGGAGGATTCAGGGTTTCCATGGCCAGCAAGGCCTTTGCTTCTGCCATCAAACGGTCTGTAAGGTCCTGGAACGTCTCGCTATGATTACTCGGGCTCCACACTATATCTGGTGACCGTATAAATCGACAACTGTGGGCATAGAGCACCTTCACGAGGGTTGAAGAGCAATGTGTGGCGGAGCGATCCCCACGGGCAAGTAGAGGCATATCTCTCGTGAAAGCGGGGCGGTATACAAAAAGAAAACTCGGATGCAGCCAACACCAGTGTAGCTGCAGCAAGGTACTAGCAAGATCATTCGATAGATTTGCCAGTGACTGGGATGCATCTAAGTTGATGATTTCGAGGTCTTTCTGGGTGGCAGCGTTGGCCACCAGTCCCTGTCTAATATCTGCTGCCCGGCATTTGTCTGTCGATGATGGCAAGAGGGATGCAATATGCAATGGTTGAGCATCCTTTTGTGGTAGATCTTCATGTATAGCAGATGTTTGGTTGTGGTAGCCAACATCTCCTAGCGCATCCAGACTTATAGAGTCGCCGCCCTGTTTGCTGAAAGTCGAACTGGCAAAGGACGGGCTGGATGGAGGAGAGGTTGCCTGAGTGGTAGCCTTGCGCTCCAGCTCACGGATGCGTGACTGTAACGAACGCACGTAGGCGAGCGAGGGTGATTTATCATAGTGGCAAGGCGAAGCACTGGCGACACAAGCGGAGCAGCTTGGCGAAGCCCCATCGCATTTGCTTTTCCGACGCCTACAGGTCGAGCAGACGATTTTCTGATGTCTCACCATTGCTTCATGACCAAAATTAAGCAGCGAAACCCAGCCTCACTAACTATCATCAAAAGAAAATGGAGAGAAAGTGAAAAAGAGAAACGGGGAGGAGGACTGGGAAAGTGTGGGGAATGCCCCACGCTTTCCCTTTCAGGCGGAGCCGCTGGGCTTTGAAAGTCAATTGCTACTAGGAATGCACGCAGTCATTTCTTCATTGTAACGAACTCCTCGCTACTTAAGGGGAATTAATACACTGCCTGGACGCTAAACTGTACTTCTTTATAGGAAATGTGAACCTTGCAAGGTGATTGGGTTGGGGTGTAAAACATGACATCCTGTGATATGGCGATCCACGCGACCCGTATATAGTTCTGAGTCGGGATTTGCCTGTACTTGCAGCCTTTTAACCCTTGGGGCGTTTTTAGCACCACTTGTCGTTCTACTAGATCTCAGGATCTGAAAGGATTGAGAGAACCGGAAAGTGAAAAGATTAGAGCAACATGTTTTTGGGTTATGCACTTGATTCTGATATAATTCTAACCAACGCATATTTTCTTATAGAAATCAACTGACTCTTTGTCCCAGTGCATTCCCGGAAAAGTGGCTACTAGAGTACATATCTGAAATCTTTGTTTTCAAATTCAGTCCGATCCTGCATTCCGGCTTCATTACTTCTAGCCTTGTCAGCCGGACCGTAGCGTGAGTCACGACGGTGATTGACCAAATACATATAGCCTATTCTCATTAGCATATTAATGTCCAGAAGAAGAGCTGTTACGGGGCGAGGAAATCATACCGAGCAATGAGAGATGGCATCCTGCCTTGATTGCGTAACCGACCAGCAGACCAATTGTGGCGCCCTTGTATCCAGGAGCTTCAGATGGTTTGACCACAAAGGGCCCTGCAAAGTTACCCCAGCAGTAGGCAGTACTACAGCCAGTTAGTTCAACTGAAATATGCAAAGCACAAAGAATCCGGTAAGACTTACAAGACCAGAGCGTTGGCCATAGCCCTGTGGGTATATCCAGCCATGTTTGAGGAGATAGTGACCAACGAGACTGTGAAGCCAACAGATTGCGCATTCACCAGCCAAAAGCAAACCAGTCTCTGCCACTTTTGCTCCCGGGGGAGATACGCCATACAGGCAGCAGCAACGGTGCATAGAATATTGGCAGCGGTCGAGGTGAGCAGTCGGGAGTTTGGCACATTCAACGTGATAGTGCCACCGATGATCAATGCGACGATGACAACTGCATCACCAACCGACTTCAACTCCGTTGTCATCGTTTGGGAGAATCCCATGTCTTTGATGATGATCGTCGAGAAAGAGTTGACAACACCGTTTGGAATGGCAGCAGCAAACACCGAAATAAAGAGTAAAATTGCCTTTGGATCAGTAAACGCGATCATACCCTGCTTCTTGTCAAATGCTTTGTTCTTGATTCCGGTTTCGTTACCGGAGACTCGCTTAACCGCAATGATGCGCTCGGACTTGGACAAGAAGAAAGCACTTGAGGGCGAATCAGGCAAAACAAAGAAGATCACAAATGCCCATAGGCAAGTGACGCCACCGAGAATATAAAATAATAGCTCCCAGCGCGCCGGGCTGAAGTTGACAGGAAGCTTGGTAATACCGAAAGAAATGTAGGACCCAACAATACCACCCCATCCAAGTGCCGAGTACCAAATACATTGACGAAGAGGGATTTCCTTTCGGGTATACCAAAACCCGGTCATGAGGGTCAAGCCGGGGGTGACAGCGGCTTCAAAGATACCCATGATGAAACGGACACCCAACGCACTGGGGAATGTATGGCATTGGGTCATGATAATCACCATCAAACCCCACATGAGGCAGCTCACTCCCAAGACGCGTTGAGCTGGGAACCTTCCAACCAGCCATCCACAAGGATATTGACCAAAGAAGTAGCCGGCATACACCACTAACACATGTAAGCTTCTCCTAGCCCTGATATATAAAGGAAAGACATACTTGCAGAGAGATAATTGAACTGTTGACCTTTCAGTTGTAGTGTCTCCTGGTATCCGAGCAGGTTCGCATAATTCAAGGCCGTCTTGTCCATGAATTGCAATGCTTGAGTGACGAGAAAAATAGGGAGTACAACCAAATCAATCTTCCATCTGACTTTGGCGTCCTAGAATGTTGTCAGTTAGAACTCACTTGCAGGTCGCCTGGCAAAGAAGGCTCACTCACTTCCTTTGCAGTTATGTCAATGTGCAACCCTTCTCGATATTCCTTGTATCCGACCGCATTTTCCTAGAGAAGTGTCAAAGCAAGCCCTTTTGCATACCCTCAAAACGGCCCTCATACCTCATAAATCGAACTCGCCTTTGCCTCTTCAATATCGTCGCGAAGAGGACTCTGCACAGGGGTCGCCTCCTCAATATGCATGTTGTCCGATCTTTGCTGTTTTGGTGACATGGCAAAAGGCGCAAGGTGGTACTGCAGGCCAAGAAATTGGTTTGCAGCAAGTCCGAATGATCTACCTGGCGCTGCTAGGACTTATAGTCCCAACTTTCCTCCGCGTGGAGGTTCGCAGATTGCGGGGACCAATCCCCAGAAACCGGGCAACTTCCGTGGCCACAACGCTTGCGGCGGATGCCCGCTGCATTTCCTCTGCCATCTCTAATTTCATTCGAAGATCAAGAATGGATAAATACGATCGGTAGTTGTCTATAGTGTTCATAAATCTTTAAGGCTGGTGCGTCAACCTCTCTTTTTGTTTTCTCTCTTTTTTTCTTGTTCCGTCTATCTATATACAATGCCGCCTTCTATCGACGCCCCTCGAAGCAACACCTGGTTGGCCCAGCCATCGGGACCTTGTTGTCTGAAGGGAACCCTTCATGATGGTACTTCGCATGGGCGTTTTGTAACGGTTGCGGGAGTAGAAACATACATCGTGGAACCTAAAAAGAGCAACGCAAATGGCCACATTCTATTATACTTCCCTGATGTCTGGGGAATGTTTCCAAATGGTCTTCTGGTGATGGATGCATTTGCCGACTCCGGCTATCTCGTCCTAGGACTGGACTACTTCAGAGGCGTATGTCTTCGTCAGTTTTTATTGTTTGCCCCGACCACGCTGATTGATTGTAAGGATCCGGTTTGGAAACATCGTCGTGATCGCCATGACCGTTCAGATCCAGACTTTGACTACGAGGCTTGGAAGCGAAAGCACATGGCATTCGCAGATGAAGCGGTCCCACGGTGGGTAGATGAAGTGAAGAGATCGTACGGCCAGGCATCGACTAAATATGCGTGTGTTGGGTATGTGTCCCATCTGCATTTCCCAATCCTCACGAGACCCACTGACTCAAAATCTTGATTCAGATATTGTTTTGGTGCACCGTATGTTTGCGACGAGCTGGCCAAGAGCACTGTCAGCGCCGGTGCATTCGCTCACCCGGCCTTTTTGAAAGATTGCCATTTTTCAAAGATCACCAGTTCGTTACCCTTATATCCTGTTCACTAAGATGGAAAGAACTAAGATTTCTCGACAGAGCCCTTGTTACTGTCGTGTTCTGTGGAAGACCACACGTTCCCTAAAGAGGCCAGACAAGTCGCTATAGATATTCTGCAGTCAGGTCAAAAGTCATACCAATTGCAGCTGTTCTCTGGTGTTGAGCATGGATTTGCTCTGCGAGGCAATATGAAAAATCCTTACGAGCGTATGGCATCACTCTCTGCAATATATGCACAGTTGAACTCGAAAACTGACATATTCTAGGCTACGTGAAGGAGCAGAGTTTGAAGGCAATTGTAGCATGGTTTGACTTTTGGTTATCACAATAGTGTAAGCGATAGAATCAGCCCTCAAGTTAAAATTGTTATATGATTAAAATATTATCTGGATGAGTGTGAACAGAAAGATTCCTCGATATGCCATTGTATCCTTTATACCTGTGGTTCTCTAAATGAGGCAGGGAGCAAACCAGATCACTTTCAAGTTTTATTTGGCATGACTCTCATCTTTGCGTCTGTTTCTATATCTTTCTATATAATCCTTTTTAATATCTAAGCAAACACATACGACCACAGGGTGTGGAGAACAGGGCTTCCCGTCCGCTCAGCCGTACTTAAGCCACACGCCGGTAAGTTAGTAGTTAGGTGGGTGACCACTAGCGAATCCTTACTGTTGTATGTTTTTGTTTTAGCAGTGTTTTCGTTAGATAGCTATAGATATTTTGGTCTTATATTCACAGCGGAATGATGGGCATTAGCAAAAAACTACTATTTGTACCAAAATGTTACTATTCTATAAAGAACTTAGGGGGCCTATTTTTCGCATACAGGTATTGACATGATCTACATGCCTATTAAGTTAACGTTAATATGTACCGTATGTAGGTAGGCAGTAACGCTACTTATTATTCAAGACGCACTATGTTGATTGAGCCGTATGTCATAATTCTTTGAACGAACGCGGTAGAGACATGTGGATATGAGCAAAGTAGCTCGAAGACACAGTAACATGTGCCAAAGCTCTCACCCGTTACAAAACTTCCTCATTCATTGGCTGTGGATAGAAACAGCCCCCAGCCCGATCCACGGTATATCTGAAATGGGACCCCTCCGGTAAAGAAGCAAATCCCGAAAATCCCGATGCCAAATCAATTCGCTTTTCAGCAGTTCCGCATGTGGTCAAAACCTTACTTATTGGGGGTCTCCAACTATCGCCTCTTTGATGGCGGGCGGTGGTTGGGGGCCGGAGAATCGGCAGATGTCCGAAGAGGCCTAACCATGCCCAAATCGTGGACCGGAAGATGGCCGCATGTTGTTGTATTGATGTTTCAAGGACAGATAAGTCTTTATAAAAGCACGTTACAACGAACCTTCTGTTTTTTGAAACCCAGAAAACAACTGTTGTAAAACAATCGCTTTCGACATGGCTTCCGCTAAAGCTTTCGAATTCACCGGCGAGGTGGCCATTGTCACGGGTGCTGGGTCACGTATGCCTGGTAATCAGCTCGATTCCTTACTTGAGTATAAAAGAGAATACTGACAAATATTAGCCGAGATTGGCAATGGCCGTGCGACTTCTATCCTACTCGCCAGACAAGGCGCCAAGGTGGCATTAGTCGACTATAACATTGAATGGGCTCAGGAAACCAAGCGCATGATTGACCTTGAGGGCGGCATGTCGGAAGTTGTGCAGGCTGATGTGACTGATGAGGAAAGTTGCAAGAATGCCGTGGCCAAGACAGTTGAGCTGTTCGGAACCGTGAATATTCTTGTCAACATTGGTGAGTTTCCATTCAGTCATTCAGAATACATCATAACTTGTATGAAAATTAATGTTCAAATCTTGTAGTCGGAGTTGGCGGTGCGATGGGAGATGCTACTAAGCTCGATCTTGCAGCCTGGGAGCGCGATTTCAAAATCAATGTCACAAGCATGGTATTGATGAGTCGCCATGCCATTCCCGAAATGAGGAAGAATGGACGAGGCGCAATTGTCAATATGTCCTCAGTGAGCGGTCGTAAGTATCTATTGCTGTCCTGAAAGTTGGATATTCTTAACGCAGGAGCAGTTCTCGGTGGAAACCCCAGTCTCTTGTACCCCACGACCAAGGGTGCTATTATCCAAATGACCCGTGCTATGGCTGCCCAGCATGGCCCTGAGAATATCAGAGTTAACTGCGTTTGCCCGGGAATGGTCTTTACCCCAATGGTACGAGGTAGAGGCATGACGGATAAGATGCGCCAGGACCGTATCAACCAGAACCTTTTGAAGCAGGAAGGCACAGGGTGGGACGTTGGTTATGGTATGGGGCTTTCCATGAATTCTTTTCAAAGTAAGATTTACTGACCCCGGATATACAGCAATCCTCTTCCTCTGCAGCAAGGAGGCTAAATGGATCACTGGCTTGATTATGCCTGTTGATGGCGGCGTAAGATATTCCCTCTTCCAAAATCCAAGTGGACTCAAGCTAATTTTCTCTTTGATAGACCACCGCAGGAAAGGCAGACAGACCAGCTCTGAAGGCTGATACTCTCGCAGAGGAGAACACGACGATTCCCAATAATTCTTAGGCAACAAGTCATGTCATTTTTATTAGAACTTTGAATAGAACGAAAATTAGACGAATATCAATTCAACCTTCGGTGAAATAACTATTATCACAAACTAGAGCACAGGAGGTTTTGTTCTAGCATGTAATCAAGGGTGGCAAGAGGCACGTGATGGGCTTACTACATTGTGGACTATTGCTTCGTTGTACCTGAAAATTAAGTCTCTGGTGATTGCTCTTAGCTAGTGGAATATCATCCGCCTCGCTTTATTGATATTGAGTTAGGCAAGGAGGTAGAGAAGACGAAAGGGTCACATTCCAACTACTAACTGTTAAGACTATTTGCTTTTTCTAATATATACTCACGAACGCTACATAGAATTTCAAAGAATCGTTGGCTCGCCAAAAGCCGGACAGATCTCAGACAAGACTTTCAACAAGCTCCTCTACACTCTCCATCTCGCGAGAATTATTTGCTCCAACATCCAGCGCCACAAGGATCCTGCTTACACAATTGTAACCAGCAACTGTGGTAGTGAGCTCCACAATCTCCCTGTCTGACAGCTCTGCCTTGACAAGTTGATGGAACACATTATCAGAAACAGTCACAGATTCAGTCATTGCATCGGTATAAGCAAGAACCGCTTGCTGCCGAGCCGTGAGGCATGACTTCTTCCAGGCCCCGATTATTTCCTCTGCAGCTTGACAGAATGATGGAAGCGAACGCGCATCCTGCAGCTCTTGTGCTTGAACTCCAGGCATCCAAGCAAGTGGCGCGTGGATATTCCACTCGTAGACGGCATTGTTCAAAACGGCTATGCGGCTGATGGAAAGTTCCAAGACCGTGGGGAGTGTAGATCCCCTCCTAATCTAGGCTTTCAGGATAGCTTTCGAATAGGGGCTCCAATCTCGCCGGGCAAATTCCGGCGAAAGAAATAGCTATTGGGTCATACTTCGCGGACAGATGCCGCAAGGTGAATTCGCGAAGTAATGAATACACTTCCCGATACTTCATTGTGTCAGTCTCTAGCGCAAAATAAATGAAACTTTCTTCCAATCGAGAACCTTAATAATGGGAAAACCCAAGACAGTATAATCATGTTACAATGCGGCCTAGGAAATCTTCAAATTATCCTCATTCGTGTTCCAACTAGCGTTTTCGTGATGTACTGGTAGTAATTATTGGATATTTTTGGAATTTTCTTTAACATACACATAAAGGTGGCATTGCATAGGGACATAGGAGTATGGCGAGCTAAAAGATTCGTTCTCTATGAAAGTTAACTCGTGTTGGCCGTCTAAAGCCACCTCTCACATCCAATCCAGCTCAAACGGATAGTACTGAGATCTTTTTTAAAAAAGGTTCAATAACCATTCAATTCACATTCCACTCTATCACAGGATACTAAGGCATGATAGAGTGAAATTGTGGCTCTAGTTCAACTAGGTAGCCTCATATGGCGATGCGTTGTCCGGATATTGAAGCGACGCAACAAGGTCCAAAGTCTGGTTGGACGGAGTCCAGTCCAGAATGTAGATCCAACCCTCAGAAGTGTCACTTAGGTACATATAGTCCGTCGGACCCTCGGGATCACATTTGGTCTCGTCCTCCCAAGGCGCAACGCGAAGACGACCCGCAGAACCAAGAGTCATAGGTGCCTCGTAAAAGCTCACCGCATCTTCCTTTGTGAGGTATCCTGCATCATCCACTTCGAAGGCAGCGGCATATCCATTTACTTCGGGACAGTTCCAGCTGCGTGTGGAGGTGAAGAGATACTTGCCGTCTCTCGAGGGTCGGACGGTATTACTGCGGAATGTGAAGTGTCCTCGGACGTCTGTTGTTCCTCGACTTGAAGACAAGCCTTTGTGTTTAGGAATTTCAAGATAGTCTTACCGGCAGGAATCACACTGGCACGCTGTATATGTTGAGCTGAGTTTCACCGATCTCGTAAACGTCGAGCCATTGAGCTGGGATAGAAATTGTCAATTCCAGAACGATCAAACCATAAGAGCATAAATCACTATGTTCTGTAACCTGTAATGCACCGGATTAGTTGGTTTGTTTAGCCAAAGTTTCATTTAAGAATCACATACCACGTAGAGAAGCTTCCCATCCTCGCTAGGATACGAATTACGGGGACCATCGCCCTCCGTTGGGCTCAAGTTAATGGACAGAAGCTGAGCCGTGCCATTGTCGGCAATGTCGTACGTGAAGATAGAGTTCATACCGCTACTAAGAATCAGCCAATGTCGGTAATATGTTAGGCTTTGTAGTTGACTGACAGGTGAGGAACAAAACCCTTGTTATTCACATTGACATCGAAAGCATGAGCGCCGTGCAACTAATTTTGTGGAGTCAGAATGAAACAGAAACCATAATCAACAGTCTAAGTCGAAGAAACTCCAAATATTGACTTACGACAGCACCTTGGGTCTTGTCCACCCTATCAACATCCTCAACTGGGATAAGATAGAGCTCGTCAGTCTGATTGCCGATAACCCCATTGACCTAGATAATTGATCTGCGCAGTTGGACCACCAGCGGAGAAAGAGTACTGGTCATCATCGGAGATGTAGCAGGCCGAGGATGCTATGAACCTTAGGAAATTTATCTCAAGAAACCGCTGCGATTATACACCTACTGGTGTTAATGATGCTGGGGTGGGTGAATTGATAGTCCTGATCAACACCCCAGGTGAACAACCGCGGAGGCTCACTCATGGGGTTTGCGTAAACCCGGTTTTTGGCCGCATTGCTGGTCACGAATTGGTGTAATCCAAAGCCCGGAATGGTCGAATTGAGAGTCAGTGTTCGGGATATAGTATCAAACGCAAGTAGAAACAGAGTGCTGTTGGTATAGGAACCCGTGAGGAGGTGGTGGAGTTGCATTTTGGTAAGAACGGACGCACTCAGAGATACAGAGACATGTAATTTGCTTCAGAGAAGGTCAGCAGGGCATTGGCTTTAAGTGTAAATGACTGGTAGTAATATCCCAGGATCTACCGTACTGCGATCAACATAACATGCTAGTCTCTTGGCTCTAGCCCTGCGCAGTTTCCCCGGAGCCCATGGGCAACACTACCCCAGGATTAAAGTTGTGTAATTTGATCTGGGTAAAGGTTTTGAGAGCGGGAATTGCCCGTTCACATATTTGCAATGGGCGTGGTGGTGTGGTTAACAGCCGCAAGGAACCGGCCATTCTCCGGATGCCTTTGCATATTCTTTGTTTGGCTTCGGTATAGGAAGCACAAAGACGCCGCACTCCTGCCGATCGCTGTACGACTAAGTAACTCCGTTCGGATACGGGGCAACCGACCTGGGACCTCACCCAGTCGAGTATAGGCGGTAACCTCGTTCTGCGCACAGGTATATGATGTGGGTGTTGAGCCCTTCGGAATTTGCCCGGGGACCACCACAAAAACAATAGGTTTGAGGTTTCCATGGCCAGCTCAGACACTTAGTCGGTTAGGGGTAGTGGACAGTGGCTAATCAATCTTTTCCTAACTTGTGCAATACCTACATGTACGTGCTGCTATGCCAACTATGGCTTACATCCATCATGACTCATGGAAGAAGCACCTGGGCAACTCCCTAAGTAAGTCACAGCTCGGCTCTGAGAATCATTGAGGGAACTCCTTTGAGAAGATCAACCCCATAAAGGCCTTGGGGTCTGACCAAATGGCCATTGGAAATCCGTTGCTCGAAAATTTCCAGAGTTGTCACCAAAGTCTTCAGGCTTCCATTGTGCGTATAGACAAAGAAGAGACGATACTTCCAGGTCTCACCCGAAGATGCTGTGGACGCTCACTTCTAACCTTCAGGTTGCCATGCTACGACTGCCCTTAGACAGGGACAGAACCGGCGGGTTGCCGGGTAACCCGCGGGCTCGAAACGGTGCGAATGCTTCCATGATGAACATAAGTTATGCGGAATGGGGTTATCTTCTAAAAGGTAACTTGACGTATGTCTAACTGATTCTTTCTATCTAGCTTATCTTCTAACTAGCTTGAGTTTAATTATTTACAGGGTATGCAGGTAGTTATGTGAGGTCAACGCGTCAACGTGTCGCTCTCGGCGCTTTTACCCATCAAAATGGCCCGTCCACTTCCGACTCCCCTTCGGACTATTTTAAGCCCTTTTTTTCGCACGGTTTTCCGAGTTTGTTTTAAGATATACCCATCTCTAAATTGCGTTGAATTCTAGGGCCATTCTGACCCGAAATTGGTAGCATGGTAGTACAATAACTTCGTTTGATCTGTCTAGTTGTCACTTGTGCGCTATCTCCTCTCCGGTCGCTAAGCGTTACATTTCACGTTTAAGTCCCCGACGACACAATCATATATCTGCGATTGTGGAATCAATTAGTCAAGTAATCGCAGTCTAACACTTGTCATTCGCGGCCTATCGACTTCAAGGGGTTCAGCACTAACTCCCCTGATTCGTGTTAGCCGTAAGGCTATGCAATATTGGGCAAGTCCATGCGACGATCTACAGCCGCCTTGTACCGACTTCACTTTTGATAAAAGCTGAGATGCATTCATAGCTTCCCCGCATATTGCAACGGAGCTATCCGCAGTTCGGCAAGACCACCCTATGTTGCGGATACTTAGACTCCATTCTTCCCTCGGGGGTTTTACCAAACACCCTCTGGAACTCGAAATTTGACTCACGATGAAAGACAGTCCGCTAGATGGTGATGATGCCCAGTTGGCAGCGATGGGGCATCGGCCCGAACTCCAGCGCAGTTTTTCCACATGGTGAGATCGACCCACAATTTGGAAACAAGTTGATACTGATGGTTTGTAGGTCCATGCTAGGATTGGCGTTCGCTGTCCTCAACGTAGGTACTCCTTTACTCTCAGTCGGACCCAGCTGACCAGTCAGTCATGGACAGCACTCTCAGCCAGCTTGTCGATCAGTCTCACATCCGGTGGAAGCACAAGTGTGATATGGGGACTGGTGACTGCGGGATTCTGCAATTTATGCATCGCATGCTCGTTGGCTGAGTTCCTCTCAGCATACCCGACGTACGTACATTTTGTCGTGAAACGTATGCCAAACTAATGTTTTGCAGAGCTGGAGGACAATACCATTGGGTTGCAGGTGAGTCATTCTCATTCTTTCACCAATTCATGGACTAAAACTAACGAATACAAGCGAGTATGTGATCTGATCGACTCTTTTGATTCATACTGACAGATACAGTCGCGTGGCCGAAATGGGTACCCATTCTATCATGGATCACAGGCTGGATCAATGTGGCAGGCTGGGTAGGCAGAACATCGACCTAAACCTAACACGGGCCCGAAATTGATGAATGCAGGTTGCCCTCGTCGCTACAAACTCACTTCTTTCGAGTCAGCTCATTGTTGGGATTATCTCCACCCTTCACGAGGTAATAAACCTCCTCCTCATTGCCAAGTTGTACTAATGCAGTATACAGAGCTATAAGCCCCAACGCTGGCATCAATTCCTGATTTACATTGGACTGACCATTGGTTCATTCGTTATCAATGCTTTCATGAACTCCATTTTGCCGGTAATCTACCGTGGCGCTTGTATGTTTCCGTCCCTTCTTTTTTGTTGTGATTCTTACACTGAGCAGTTATGTGGTCCATTGGAGGTTTTGTGGTAGTGTCCATCACAGTCCTCGCATGCGCATCTCCCAACTATAATTCAGCCTAGTATGTTCTCAAGTCCTCGATATTCAAGAGACAAGCTTCTAACGTCGATAGCTTCGTGTTCTGCGACTTTGTCAACCAAACAGGCTGTATGACTCCCCTTCGAACTCTTATCGGATGATGCTAATTCAAGACAGGGCCTGATGGAGTCGCATGGCTTCTTGGTGTACGTTATGTGCATACATGATAACCCAACTCTTGGTATTGACGAATCTTCAGTTGCTCCAGGGAGGCCTAGGTGTTACAGCTTTTGTAAGTGTCTATTACTCTTTAATCCGCTCCTCAACTAACATCTCTCAGGATGCAGTGGCGCATATGATTGAAGGTAACGAGACTTTCTGGCTCTCAAACGTATAAGCTAATGTGTCTTCTTTGCAGAGGTACCCAACGCCTCAATTGAAGGACCTAAAATCATGGTGTCCTGCGTGGGAATCGGTACAGTTACCGGTTCAATCTTCCTCATCGTTCTCCTCTTTGTCGCGGGCAACATGGAACAAGTCACAACCTCGGCAGCTGGTCCTCTGTTGCAGATTCTACTAGATGCAACAAAGAGTAACGCGGGCGCTATCTGCCTTTTGATGTACGTGATAAAGAATTTCGAATCATTCGCTTTCTCTTCGAGTTCACTAATTCCAACATTTCATCACAGGCTGCCACTTGTCTGCTTGGTTTTCGCTATCATCAGCGTTATGACTACCAGTAGCCGGATGATTTTTGCTTTCGCGAGGTAATGGCTTTTGTCTCACCCAAACCTGAAAGACGTGTACTTATTTTCATCAGAGACGGTGGTCTTCCTGCTTCCCGATTCTTCGCAACAGTGCACCCCACCCTCAAGTTGCCCCTTAACGCACTCATGTTGAGCGTTGTTGTGGTTATCGCGTTCGGATGTATTTTCTTGGGGTCTTCAAGGTAATTTCTATCTAAGTATGACGGCTCAGCGGTGACTGACTGGATCTAGTGCTTTCAACGCGATTATCTCCGCTTCAGTTGTTGCACTGGACCTATCGTACGGCATTCCAATTGCCATCAACTGTCTGCAGGGACGTCGAAGACTACCCGAGCGAAAATGGAGACTGCCAAGTGCAGTTGGATGGTTTGCCGACATAGTATGTTGCACCAGGTATTCCATGCAGATAATTAATGGGATCTCTAATGCCGAACAGGTTTCCTTATCCTACATCAGCCTCACCACTGTGCTGTTCGTTTTCCCGCCGTCAAGCACAGTAACCGGGAGCAGTATGAGTGAGTGTTCCATGCGTAAGTTGATACGGACATTTTGCTGACGTTTGTTAGACTACTGTATCGCAGCATTTGCTGTCATCATCATCGTCTCCGTATTCCAGTGGATTGTTGACGGAAGGAAGAACTTCACTGGTCCTCGATTTGATATGACCATCGATGCCCTGGATGCCATGCCCACAGAACAAGAGCCCAGCATACACGAGAAGTAGACCTTGCTGCTAACAGTAAAGGCGGGATAGATCCATTTCTCGCGTGTATCAACTATTCGGCTATTGCCCTCCAGGGGTCCAACGCCTCTATTTAGAATAGGTACAACTGGTTCAAACAAGACCTGGAATAAATCTTTTAGTTGAACGATGCCACTCCTCCCACTGCCTCCCAAATTTTTGTCTCAGCATCTCTTCTTCGTCTCGCACCCGCACTATTAAGACCCAGAGGGCAAACCCTACGAGTCCAGCGATCGCACTAAATCCCCACCCATGCCACCGAGATAGTGCCGACGCGGGAATCCAACAAGCGGGCGTGGCATCCCACCGCAGAAATAATGTCACACACCCAATGACTATCATAGCCATACCCGTATAGCTGGGGTGTTGGATCCAGCCATACATTCCAGTTGTTACCAAGTCATCCGGTGCAGCCAGTTGAAAGGTAAAGTATTTTCCGAGTCCTCCGTAGGCCGAGAGACGAATATACGCGCCGAGGTATATGAGTCCCAGGGCAGACAGAGTCATAGAATTCCACGTGAAAAGGTCCGTATTCGTATTCTGGGACAGGGGACACACTTGCGACAAGCGAGCAGGGGCGTATTGGGGAATCGCTGTCAGGAGCGCATGATACATAATGGCAGTGATACCAATCCGGCGCATAATAGTTGGGAAACTTCCTGCAATAAAATTGATGCGATCTGTTCGGTGGCGATCCTTTTGTTCGGGGGGAGGATTTGGCGGCGTGGCGCAGAGCACGCTGAGGTAGCCTGCCACTGTCATCGCAATGGCGAGTAATGTAGTGCCTGTTTGGTTCATGATTGATTTCAGATGTCAGGGAATTGGAAGAGCAAATCCCGGGAAGTCCGGGAGCAAGAAGCCCGCTGGAGAGTTACGCGAAATGACACGTTTCGAGAGAGTGTCTCCAACGCGTGTTTACCAGTGTAATCTTTGCCTTGCAATTATTCCTAATTATACATTATGAATATCAAAATTAATATTACGCGTTATTCAAAGGCTTTTCGTCTCGAGTTCTAGAATTCCACAATCCCGCTGAACTATATATCGTGGATCCGCACCACCTCCGCTACTGATACAAGTACTTATCGTAGTTACCCGACCTAAGATGGATACAAAACAACCAACCGAGATGTTGAAGTGAAAGGATTCAGTCCGATGCTATCCAATACTGAGGCATTCAGAAGTAGATGATCTTTTAAATGGATCTTGACTGTTGAAGCCGAGGTCCGAGCCATTGCCTCCGAACCATGACCCTATCACGGGATTTGACTGTAACAATACTATCATTCGCAGATTGAAATTGTCCACAAATGAAGAAACTAGCCGAATATCTGGATAATAGCATAACACTTGGAGTATAATGTGTCCTGCTGGAAGCACTCGTGACGTCGATCACGTGAGAGGAAGAGTATCACACGTGACTCGTAATTAGCAATCCACGTGACCAGGGGTTATCGCCATGTGAGAATCGCGGAAAAGCTTATCGGCGAAAAAAGTTGTTTGGAGACCAGCTCCAACCTCTCCCTTCATCGCATCATTGGGAACGACGTGAGTATGGAGGGAAATGCACAGGCTCGGTATCAACACACAGGGGAACCCCGTTTAGCAGGAGAACCAATCAAGCCTGTTCATATTGCGCCAAAAAAGACTGTCAAGTCATGGGTACACCTTCTTGCGGGCGCGTAAGTCTTCCCAGCTGGTATTATATCTGTACTCTTCTGACATATCTAATATAGGAGTGGTGGAATGGCTACTGCCATCGTGACTTCGCCCCTTGACGTCCTACGAACACGTCTTCAGTCCGACTTCTACCGAACCCAAAACACGGGCGCCAACCAGCCTCTTCAAGGATCAAACCATAAAACGATACGCATTATCAACTCCATATATCGTGCTGAAGGCTGGCGAGCATTTTTCCGAGGCCTCGGCCCAAGCATAGCGGGTGTAGTCCCAGCGACCGCCATCAAATTTTACGTCTACGGGAATTGCAAGCGTATTGGGGCTCACATAATGGGACACACAGAAGAGTCTCCCATCGTTCACGCCCAGGCTGCGATTTGCGCGGGACTAGCAACATCTACAGCAACAAATCCAATATGGCTGATCAAGACACGGCTACAACTTGACAAAACAAGCACCGGTGGTCGTCGATATCGCAATAGCATGGATTGCATCAGGCAAGTCCTACGAAATGAGGGAATAGCAGGTTTTTACAGGGGAATGAGCGCAAGCTACCTCGGCTCGATTGAAACAGCTCTACACCTAGTGCTCTATGAACGGTTGAAAACTGGTCTCAGTCGGTCGTTGGCAGCCACCGAGGGAACACGAACACCTTTTTGGGACGAAGTTTGCCATTGGATTAGTACCAGTGGCGCTGCAAGTTCTGCTAAGCTTGTGGCAGGTCTAATTACATATCCTCATGAGGTACGCCATTTCGAGGCAATTGTCTGAGTCTCAAGCTGATACTAACATCCTTAGGTTATTCGAACAAGACTGCGCCAGGCACCGGTGGAACATGGCCGGCCTAAATACACGGGCCTGGTACAATGCTTCCGTACCGTCGCCAAAGAAGAAGGTATGGCGGGCTTGTATGGAGGTCTAGCTCCCCATATGGTCCGTTCCTTACCGTCAGCCATTATCACGCTTGGTGTGTATGAGTTTGTGCTGAGGGTCACTGGTGCCTAAGTGACTGCTAAGTGACTGGCCCCATTGTAAAATATAACTTTGTACATTATCGATTTGTCTTGGTTCTTTGTATTTATAGGAGCCAGGGCTACATTTACATTCTTGTATTATATTGAACGGGATGCTCTCAATTGCAATTATGAATACCCCTTTCACGAACCACGTTTTATGTTTCATCTTTACCCAGGGCTTAATACTTCAAGTTTAAAAAGTCAACCTGGCCAGGGCACCAACACTGCCAGTGATAGTCCAGAGGGGAATAGCCAAGGAGGACTCGGTTCCAGGCTGTGTGCTCTCCGCAGCCGCACCAGTAGCAGTAGCAGTAGCAGTAGCAGTGCTTGTTGCCGAACTGCCGCCCCCAGTGGCCTTTCCGGTGGCAGCTGTGTCCGAAGTCACAGTAACAGCGTGTAACACTGCATTCATAGATTGGCCAAATGTCCACGTGAAAATATCACCACTGACCGGGGCGGAAACCACCCCGTCCTTGTTGGACAAGGTCTCAGTGCCATTAGATGGCATGCTGCTTGGCTGATAGAATTTGCTGATTGCACCGGCGTCAGTACGACCGTATCCCAAGTCGCCCGCACAATCATATGACTCGAGATATGGTCCACATTCTGCCCAATTGTTAGGTGAAAGGACTGCCTCGTTCCACGCGTCCACCCCAAGTAGAGAAGGCTTCGTGTTGGGGCAGGTGTCGTAGATACTGTACAACATGGTTAGCTGAGAGATTGGAGCACTAAATTCCATGGCTTCCAACGTACGCAGAGACAAAAGCACTCAATCCACAGCATATGCAAGCCCTACCATAATCCACGATCGCGCGTCGGTATCAGTAATTTGGTTGAGGTTGGTCATGTTGTTGCTGCATTCTGTCATCTGGAGCGTAATCAAATGCTGCTTCTTTCCAATTTTTCCAAGGTTGCAAGAAGAGGAATCAGGGGCATCGTTGGGTGCTGGCCAGAATGGAACGGCATCGTAATTGGGATTGATGCAGTAAGTAAAGAAATCTCCGACGGTATTCTGGTACTTGCAAGTTAGATCTGTAGAATCGTTAGGTGAAATGATCAAGAATTGAATTGCCATGAGTCTGACCTCGTTCCAACAGCCTGCACTAACACAGTCAATTTGATGTGCGAACTTGGCACATTCACAGACAGCGATACAGTCACTGCCCAGCCCGGGGCATTGCTTGTTCATGCAGGTGATACTTCCACCGCATGAGTCGGAGCATGCTTGACTTCCACCAGCACAGTTCTTGTTTACACAATTTATGTACACAGTATCTGCGTCTTTGTAGCAGGACGTGAAACCGTTTGAATCCGCACAAGCCGACGCATTAAAAAGCCGACTTTCTCAGAGAGGCACAAGGAAGATAACGCCCCCAGAACTAGAAATAGATGCGATTTTGCAAAGTCATCATAGCATAGCATTGAATTTAGGAATCGTAAGCTTTCCACACATTGCTGCCAGGCACAAGCCCTACTTAAGATATGTTCCCCTGCGGCTGAAGGATCCTTAGACCCTCTTGTAGCGCATACAGTTGGAACAGCTCAATTCACATCGCGAGATGTATTTAGCGATGATCCTTTCTCGCCAAACTAAACCTTGTGCGGACTCAATATGCGAGGCTAAACAGGGACAAACGGGAGCTAAGACCTGCCGGGCCAATGGGTGCCGGTCGCTCGGCCTGTGGCGGCAATTCCGAGCCCAATGACGTCCTTGGCGCCAGCGAAACATCTTTTGCACGCCGGAGATCGGCCGGTGCCCTAAGGGCGTTAAACGAGCATAAACCGGATCACAGAGTTCATAATCCACGTTTTGCTGGACTATTGGAAATAGAACCAATACCAGGTAAATGCTTGCTGTACTTCAGCATCCAGTATCATACGGTACTCGAATTTTAGAATAATGCACAGCAGCCATTAGATTAGACATTGCCGGGGTCACCCTGCGCAGATTGCCGACCAAATTACGCAACTCGCAAAAGAAATCCAAATCTAGCATAGCCCCAAATGCTCTGAGTGTTGTTTGGAGATTGAGTTGATGGTTAAAGATTGTCTTGTGCAACACACACGTTTGCCCCCTGGCGTCAATGTATGCACAGATATGCATATACATACATATATTGACGCAAGCGGTTTGCGCGTCGAATACAATTCAACAAAAGCTCATTCCGAGGTAGTCTATCTATGATCCCATCACGATAGAAGAACCTAGAATTAGCTATAAGAGACAGGTGCTATTCTTAATGATCCAGCGGCACTCATTCCGAGAAAGTATTTCTATGATCCCTCGCCATGGGAGAACCAAGCATCAGCTTTGAAGAGACAGGTGCTACTATCAATGATCCAGCAGCGGAAATGGCCGAGCCCAGCGAATTGAAGATGCAAGAGGCTTATCAGCGATATGATTCGGAACGGGACAGACGACTGCGACCAGACGGTTTCACGCAGTACGTGGACTTCGTTGATGAACCTGCAGCAGACCTTCGGCCAGCAGAGAAGATTGTGACCAACGATAATCTGAACCAGCAAAAGGATTTCCGAGTTCTCATTGTTGGTGCTGGCTTCGGGGGACTACTATTCGCAGTTCGTCTACTTCAAACTGGCTTTTGCCAGCCCGATGAAATACTGCTTGTGGACAAAACTGGTGGCTTCGGAGGAACATGGTGGTGGAATAAATATCCTGGCTTGACTTGTGATGTTGAAAGTTACATCTGCATGCCCTTGCTGGAGGAGACGAACTACACGCCCTCGCACAAATATGTCTCCGGGATCGAGTTGAAAGAGCACGCGGAACGAATCGCCAATCAATGGAACCTCAAGAAACGGGCCTTCTTCGGAACCGAAGTCGATAAAATGGATTGGAATAATGAGGATGCCCAATGGAGAGTACACATAACAAAGAATAATAACTTACCTACGATTCTGAAATCAGATATTGTCATCATGGCCAACGGCCTGCTGGACTTCCCAAAGATACCCAAAGCTGAATGGCCTTGACACATACAAGGGTCATGTTTTCCATACATCGCGCTGGGACTACGCTTACACCGGAGGAAGCCAAGACAATCCCACAATGGATAAATTACACGACAAGACGGTTGGGTTTGTGGGAACAGGTGCAACTGCAGTTCAGGCAATTCCACACTTGGCCCAGTGGGCAAAAAAGGTTATTGTCTTCCAGCGTACGCCATCGTCCGTGGATGTTCGGGGAAATTCTGTCACAGATCTCACTTGGTGGAAAACAATGATCCAGGAAAAAGGCCCTGGATGGCAACGAGGATGTATGGAGAACTTCAACTCCTTCATATCTAATGACCCTCAAGTGCCAGATGTCAATTTGGTGGACGATGCGTGGACCAGACTGCAGACCTTCAGCGCACTAATTGGTAGTCGCTCAAGTCTTCAACCACAGTACCTGACACAGATGAAAAGGCTGGACTTGCGTCGCCAGGAGAGAATTCATCATCGCGTTGAGGCGACAGTCACAGACCCAGCAACTGCAGAGCTGTTGAAACCGTGGTATCCCAGCTGGTGCAAACGGCCGTGCTTCAGTGACAACTTCCTAGCAGCCTTCAATCGACCCAATGTCTCACTGATAGACACAAAGGGAAAAGGCGTCCAAACGGTGTCAGATCGCGGTATCGTTGTGGATGGGACAGAATACGATTTGGACACTATCATCTTCGGCACGGGATACAGCGTTGGGAGTAACGCTAATGTTGAACATGTGCCTGTCATCGGACGTGGCAACCAGACCCTGCAACAGAAATTGGGGCAAGATGGAATGGCCTCACTGCATGGTATAATGACGTTCGGGTTCCCCAATCTGTTCTTTCCAGCTCCGTACCAAGCAGGTGCCACTGCCAGTCAGGTCTATCTTCTCGATCAGCTAGCCATTCATGTTGCATACATACTCTCTCGGAAGCAGACAGGGGCAACTCAGTGACGACAAGGTTTACTGTTGAACCCAGCTACACCTCTGAGGAAGAATGGACGACACAGGTGTTGATGAGAGCAGGGGCATTTGCAGGTGTCGGTCACTGCACCCCTGGATATTACAACCGAGAAGGGCTTCAGCTCGAGGAAAGCGAGGTTTTCAAAGCCGCACGCTCTTGCATCTGGGGACAGGGGATCAAGAGTTACGTCGAAACCATTGAGGAATGGCGACAGAATAGCCGGTTGGCCGGTCTTGACATCCAGTATCGGTAGTCTGTCCCACGGAAAAGTCGGTTGAAAGGGGAGTTTCTTAGTTGTTCTAGACCGGAATTCAATTTGAATCGCTCGATTGAGGGACATGAAAGTCCATATAGAGCTCTCATCGTCGAGTAAGAATGACTGGATTGACTGCCGGTCAGGATTTCCGCGGAATTGTAATGTCGCTCACGGGGGTTCGGCCGATAAGATGACGAATCTACCAGGGCCAAACTGGGAACTTCTAGACGTCTCCGGTGAGAAAACAGAGAAAACAGAGAAAACACATGGGGTAGTACCCCCAGGAAACCTGGAATCCGGAGTATCTCCGCGTTCTAGGTCTACTATGCCTCGGAAAGTACCGAGCACCTTTCAACAATGGCCCAGTCTTTCGCAACAGGTCCACTGCAACCACAATTTAGACCTAATCTAACGAAATTGGCTCACCGGCATGGAAGCATCGGACCATGTTCCTCGGCTCGCGAAATACGGGGATAACCAGTTCTCGGTCGGGGATCTGGAGAATGTCACGGCACAGTCGTATCCACTTACCCCCGGTCCTCAGGACGAGGCCACATGGCCCACTGGAAATACCTATTATGGTCATGACAAGCGATGGGGTCCCAAAACCACTAGACGCTCAGACCGGTTCATGTAGCATTTGCCTGATTTGGCCAAAACAGGAGGACGGCAGTTGGGAGTAACTTATACAGTAACCATACATAGTACGAATAGCATGTCACCTTGAATTAGTGCGCCAAGGAACCCCAGGGATTGGGGCCCGACAATAACCCGTGGCGAAATTACTCGCAGCAGGAAATTTCAGGCCAAGACCCAACCGTGGAAAGTGACTCCTGTGGTTGGTTGATTCCCCCGGAGAGAAACTCCAGGAATCTTGTCTGGGGGTGGAACCATTCGCCCCAGGCTCGGTTATGCCCGAGATCATTGACCTGTTGATCTGTCTATCATTGTCTATCATTGCCTCGATTCACAGTCTATCTTAGATTCTAGATTTCTTATCCCCGACACCATGGTAAATTCCAAGGTTCTTCTAAAAGCAAACCAATATCTTCCTGTATAGAGTCAGCCCGCTTTACGCCAAGACCCTTTCCTTTTCTCACTAAGGAAAGTGATATTTCGTGGCGTCCCTAAGGTCCGTGCTTTGAGACGGCTGGCGATGTGACATTGAAGGGCAGGCCAGGCTAACGGGAGAACGGCAGTTGCAAATTCGGTCCAGTCAGCAGGCCCAAGCGGGTTTAGTATTTGCCGCTAAACAGAAGAGAAGAATAAAAATAAACGCGGAGTAAAAATAAAACGAGAAGAGGCAAAACCAGAGTCAACGCGGTCCAAAGGGGAGAGAAAAAAACTTCGAAGGCACGTGGCCCGCAGGGGACTGACAAATCAGAAGTGAAATGCCCCGGACCCCAAGCCCAAAGGGGATAGTGTCGCCGGAGCCGAGCGTCCAGCCCGAGACTCTGTTTGGTGGCTCAGGCCCCATCTTGTCCAATCACAGTCCGAGTTCAGTCGTTCTTTCCCCGGAGTCGCCTGTCACCCAATCAGCATCGACTTCCCCGGTTTCCTATACCTCCAACCCGACTTGGCCTCTTCTTCCTGCAGCCGATGCTGGCGTGAGCCGACAGTCCAACCCCGAGGCCAAAGCTGGACTAGTTACGCTTTTTTTTTGCTTTTTTCGCTTTTTTTTCCGGACCATGGGGTCTGGGGATTGATGTTTTAGCGGGCCCCTCCCTGTATAAATCTCTCTGTTTCCCCCCCCAAGTCGCTACTACTTTTTTGTATTCCTTTCACATCTCTTTAGTACTATTATATCTCAACCTCTTTCAAGATCTTTACAATCCCTTTGGATTTTGTCTTGAACATCTCCTTACCATGCCTGGTGGTGGAGTCATCTCCTCGCCTGCGGACACCATGCGTGTCGAGGCTCCGGTCACATTCAAGGCCTACTTGATGTGTGCCTTTGCTGCCTTTGGTGGTATCTTCTTCGGATATGACTCTGGTTATATCTCCGGTGTTCTGGGAATGTCCTACTTCATTCAGCAGTATGAGAATCTCGTGAGTTAACTTGATCTGGCATCCTGAAACCTCTACTGACCATGAATAGGACCCCGCTACTACTCCCTCGGATCTTTTCGTTATCCCCGCCTCAAGGAAATCGCTCATTGTCTCTATTCTATCTGCTGGAACATTCTTTGGTGCTTTGATTGCTGGTGATCTGGCTGATTGGTTTGGTCGTCGGACTACCATCATCTCCGGATGTGGCATTTTCATCATTGGTGTCGTTCTGCAGACTGCTGCTAGCAGCCTGGGTCTGCTCGTTGCCGGTCGTCTGATTGCTGGATTCGGTATCGGTTTCGTCTCTGCCATTATTGTTCTCTACATGTCGGAGATTGCCCCGCGCAAGGTCCGTGGTGCCATCGTTTCCGGCTACCAGTTCTGCATCACCATTGGTCTCATGCTGGCCTCCTGCGTCGACTATGGCACTCAGAACCGCACTGATAGCGGTGCCTACCGCATTCCCATTGCCCTCCAGATGCTCTGGGCTGTCATCTTGGCCATCGGTCTGTTCCTCCTTCCTGAGTCTCCTCGTTACTTCATCCGCAAGGGCCAGAAGGAGAAGGCCCGTGATGTGCTTGCCCGTATCCGTGGCCAACCTGCTGACTCCGAGTTCGTTACCCTGGAGCTGGATGAGATCGACGCCAACAACCAGTATGAGCTGCTGCACATCCCCCAGGGTGGATACTTCGCCACCTGGTTCAACTGCTTCCGCGGCAGTCTCTGGGAGCCCAACAGCAACCTGCGCCGCACCATTCTCGGTACCTCCCTGCAGATGATGCAGCAGTGGACTGGTGTCAACTTCGTCTTCTATTTCGGAACCACCTTCTTCCAGCAGCTTGGCACAATCCAGGATCCTTTCCTGCTGAGCATGATCACCACCATTGTCAACGTCGTCTCCACTCCCCTCTCCTTCTACGCCATTGAGAAGTTTGGCCGTCGCCCCCTCCTCCTGTGGGGTGCCCTGGGCATGGTCGTCTGTCAGTTCATTGTCGCCATTATTGGTGTCACTGACGGCCACAACCCCAAGGCTATCAGTTCCATGATCGCCTTCATCTGCATCTACATCTTCTTCTTCGCCACCACCTGGGGTCCTGGTGCCTGGGTTGTGATCGGTGAAATCTACCCCCTGCCAATCCGTTCCCGTGGTGTTGCCCTCTCGACCTCCTCTAACTGGCTCTGGAACTGCGTAAGCATCCCCCCATCCCTCAAACACGAAAGATACACTAACCTTCTCAACAGATCATCGCCGTCATCACCCCCTACATGGTTGATTCCGACAAGGGTAACCTTGGACCTAAGGTGTTCTTCCTCTGGGGCTCCCTCTGCACCTGCGCCTTCATCTACACCTACTTCCTGATCCCCGAAACCAAGGGTCTCACCCTAGAGCAGGTCGACAAGATGATGGAGGAGACCACCCCCCGCACCTCCGCCAAGTGGAAGCCTCACTCCACCTTCACCGCCGAGATCGGCCTCGTCGACGAGAAGA